ACATTATCTGGTAACACTTTTCAGCTTTGTTACCAGGATATTGCCTTCCTTTCACGTCCCATCCATGAGACAGCCAGGCTTAAATGGTAAGAGTATTTTCTCCCTTATTCTGACACCATCCAAGGGTAGCCTCAAGGCACACATTTATTACCCAATACCTCTGAAAGAGGTCAGAAGATTTCAATAATCCAAGAGGCAATACAAGTAGGATAAAGATCAATCATGGCCCAGTAAAGTCATGTGGCATATATACTTCAATGCTAATTCATAAATGGACCTGGAGCGATAGATTGACAGCTCTTCATTTCAGCAGTGCAGAAATGCCTCAACTGATACTCCTCATTTTCCCCCTAGAAACTCCAATCCCTGCCATTCTTATGATGCACCCTGCTCCATTTGGCATTATTGCTCCACCTACTTGACAAACGGCAAGATGGAAAATAATAGTCATGATCTTCATCATCTCATAAAACCATGAAGAGAGGATGTGAAGGAAAAGGAGGAAGAAGGGGCAATCCTGAAAGGAAATGTCCTGCTATGGAAAGATGCCACCTTGCACTACCCACCGAAGTCTCTTCTGCAGGTGGGCAGCTATGCCATATTTCCCACCTCAGTCCATGTTTATGTTGGGGGGTGGGTGGAGGTATAAGAAAGCAAATGAAGATTACAATCAGAAGGCTTAGTGAAATTAAATTAACTCTCACTGAATCTGCACAATAAAATTCTTCTTTAAAAACACAGAAGCAAATGGAGCGAAAGAGGAAATGCAAAGAAGAAAGAAAGGGAAAATGAGGGATATTTGTGTTATAGAAAAGGGGAAGAAAAGCACTTTGAGGCCAGGGAGAGAATAGTAGAAAGATAATCAGAGGTTGTTTTTTTTTTTTTAAAGAGGTCATCTATTATAATGACGGCGTACTTGTCCCCTCCATCGCACCTCGATTTTTACCATGCAAAGATTAAGAGGCAAGACGCGTGGGAAAACACTCGCTACTAATGGCAGGGCAGGGTTGGGCTGTCTGGACCCTCCAATCTTTCGCGAGCGAAGCTTCGTCGGAAAGCATCCGGACAACCGAGGGGAATGGAAAAGAAGACGGCTAAGGCCACATGGGGAAAAACGGCAAACGGGGAGAGCAGGCAAGCAAGCAGGGGAAAGCGCCGGAGGTTCACGAGAAGGCGGGAGGGAATGCGACTGCGGGAGGGGCAGCGGCGAGTCGAGGATGCTGTTGAGGCGGGAGAGGAGAGCAGCGCGGAGCCTGACGCAGCCGCGCAGCCAGCAGGAGCCTCGCCAGTCCGTCGCCTCTCGCGCCCCCAAGGCACAGCCTAACACCTCCCCCACCCCCCCAACACCACCGCCAGAGCTTGCGCGTGCCGCGGCCACGCGCCTTCCCCGGCAGCTTTACGCGGCGGCGACGGTGGCGGCCCTCCGTAGCGCGAGAGGTGGACTCGCCGCCTTCGGCTAGGCAAGCGAAGCAGCCCCTTCCTCCTCCTCCTCTTCCTCCTCCTCCTCCCCCCTCCCCAGGATGTTCGCCCAGCAACAGCAGCGGGAGCCGACGCCGCCTCCTCGGGGCTGAGTTGTCCGCCGGCCCACGAGGCGGGCGTTGGGTCGTTCCCTTTCTCGGGGTTTCCCTCCCGGCCAGGAGGGGCCGAAGCAGGGGCAGGGCTGGTCTCCGGCCCCCAGTTCGGGATTGCGGTGCATGTTCGCTCCCTGCGAGTGCGTGAGGCGAGGGGGCAGAAGGACCATGAAAATGATCCGGTTCCGGAGCTCGAGCATCAGGTCGCTGAGCCAGGAGATGAAATGCACAATCCGTCTGTTGGACGACTCGGAGATCTCCTGCCACATCCAGGTGACTCGGGAAGCGGGTGGGCAACTCTGGACCAGAGAGGGGGCTCACACTCACGCATTTCCCCCCTCACTCCCTCCTTCCCCTCTTCGTAAAAGGAAACCTGACTGGCATTGCCCGCCGCTCGCTCCGCTTCAGCGGCATCCCTGCTGTGTCACCTGCTTCCCGCTCGCCTGTGCCCGTCCGCCCATCTCTCTCTCTCTCTCTCCCCCGGCCTTCTCTCTCTCCACCTCACTCTTTCTCTCTCTTTTTTTTCATCTCTCTCTCCATCTCCCCGTCCCTCGAGCGTCCACGCACGGCGTGGTGAGAAGTTGTTTACAAGCAAAGCGTGAACCGAGGCAGGGCTGGTTGGTCACCGCAAGGTCAGGTTGTGGCGGGGAGGTGGAAGGGTCGTCAGAGCTCGTGTGGAACCGACGGGAGCGTACAGGTAGTCCTCCCCTTGCGACCACTGTTGGGCCCAACATTTATGTTGTTAGGCAAGACAGTAAGACAGTTAAGTGAGTTTTGCCCCATTTTGCCACCACATGGGTTAAGTGAACCACTGCAGTTGTTAAATGAGTAAACATGGTTGTTAAGTGAATCTGGCTTCCTTATTGACTTTCTCAGAAGGTCTCAAGAGGGGATCACATGACTCTAGGACACTGCAATGGTCATAAATGTGAGTCAGTTATCAAGCATCTGAATGTAAATCACCTGACCAAGGGGATGCTTCAGTGGTCATAAGTGTGAAAAATGTTATTTTTTTTCAGTGCCGCTGTAACTTTGAACGGTCACTAAATGAATTGTTGTAAGTCGAGGACTACTTGTATTAAAGACCCCAGAACATTCTCCTCCAATGGGCTTACTCCAAAGTTGCACAGCTGTGAGAGCATAAGTTGAGTGTAAAATCCAGCTGGCATTTTCCCAAGGTGGGGGGAGCAGGTTCCTTGGGTTCCAATGAAAAGGCATCCTGTTAGGTATCTTGCCATGCTTTCCTAACAGATATTTGTGTGAACAGGCAATAATCAGAGGAAAATAGGGGAGTTACAAGGGAAGGAAGCCAGTGTTGCCTGCCTTAGCATCCCCATATTTTCCCAGAATTGAAATGTAATTGGGAATGCTTTCTGGAATTTGGCTGAAGTGAACAGTGCCAGTGGACAAAAGACACATATCTCCTTCTGCACAGGCTTTCCATTTATTTAATGTAAAAAAGACAAGAAACTGTCACACATACAGTGAGGAAATAATCTGGTCTATTTTAACTAGTGCTGATTATTGTAGCTCAGGGCCTTGAGAGCTCAAGACCTCTCCGTTTAAATATATGAATGAGTAAATCTCCACTGTAAGCTCAACAGCATAAGCACTCAGTTTTTTCAAAGAAGGGAGGGGCAGTAAACAACATATGGAAAGAATCAGGAGTTGCGCTAATACAATCATATGATTAACGGTTGTATTTTGGATTGTATTTAGACAAACTACTCTTTCTTTTTTCATTCATTCTTCAGAACAATCTTTGAAGTGATTAACCCAGAGGTACTTGAAGTGTCTTTCTAGAGGGCCAAAGAAATCTACAGTGTGTGTGTGTGTGTGTGTGTGTGTGTGTGTGTGTAAGTAAAAGGGTATGGGAACTGCTGCATTTGAAGTTATTTAATTATAACCAATCTCATTCTGCCGGAAGGAAGGATTCCAGTAAAAGGGATTTCTTTCCCTGTATGATTTCATCAGGTATCTTTAGCACACTCATTTTTCTTGCCCTGTAGAACATTAGTTGTATTTTAATTTTCCACCGCTACATCAAGACAGTTGAAATTTAATTGAATGCTTTCCATATTTCTTTGTTATTTCCGTTACAGAATCATAGTCCAATTTACTGTCCAATATTTGAATTGTAAGTTAAAAAAATCTAAGCAGCTAAATAATATTGAAAAGGGGGAGAAAGAGATTATTATAAATGCTTTATACTTTTCCATCATCAACACTTTGACTTATATGCTTTAAGCAAAATAAATAATCATAACTTTGAGTTAAAATCTGTAATCAAGGGCAAGTTTCATAACAAAGTTAATTATATTGCAATGCTTTGTGCATATTTTTTCAAACCTTAAATATGTTTATTTTTGAAAAAAAGAACACATTATTCACAGTGAAAAATGAATGTCCATTTTTAATATTTTACTTTTTTCTTTCATTAACCACACCAGAACAACATGAAAATAATAATCACATTTTAAAAAGCCGTTATGTATTTGATGAATAAAACCTGTAACTGATTTCTCTTCTAATTAAAGAGCTTAGAACTAATGACGTTATAAAGTTTCTATTTAAAAGTTATTAAATTAATTATTTTTAAATTATTTTTCAAATCATGGAGATATGAGCACTGAAATTTAGAAGATATTAAGCTGTTTCTCTCTTTACTTAATTGTGAGGACTTTTGTTCCAAAATATTGTGTACTCTTAACATGGTTGCAACACAAGGACAATATAGTTTTTGGACAGTATTTACGGAGCATTTTTATCAAATCCCAGGAATGGTTTCTCTTTATTTTGTGTTAGTTAGACCCAACTATGGATATTGTGTCCAGTTGTGAACTTCATATTTCAAGAATGATTGAGACAGACTAAAAAAGTTTCAAAAAATCATGATCAAAGGTATAGAAATAATTAAAAGATTTAGTTTTTAAAGAGAAAACTAACAATGGATATAATAGCAACCGTCAGATACTTTATAAAAATGTCATAGATGAGAAGGCCAAAACTTATTCTTTGTCACTTCGGCATACAGGAAAATCCACTTAAGTTACCGGAAGGTTGATTCTAGTTCATTATTAAGGAATATAATGTAAGAGCAATTTAATATTGACATACAGAGATAGTGGACTCCAGGGGATGTGTGCAAAGATTTGACAGTCATCTTTTGGGAAAAGCATTACAAGATTTACTATCTCATTCAATGAATTTTTGCAGTTATGACACTGTTGAAAAAATAACTCTGCAACCAACCTTCATAGTTACCCACTCCTTACCCTTTGGTACAACCAACCCTCACAATTACAATCTTAGCAACCACTTTGCTTAACTGCCGAGTTGCCAGTCCCAATCATGGTTGCTAAATGAGGACTACCTGTAATTTGAATGTGTGTTCTGAACAGGATGCTTGGTTTATTTGCTAGTTGCCGCCTCCAAATCTGTGAATCTGTGACCAATGACTTTCATTGTGAAGATTTTTGTAGCAAATTTCATCCAATCAGGGATAAATAAATTCTTTTGGCTAGCTGGGAAAGTTATGGACTTCTCCGAGAAATTAAGCTATGTTGTATGCAAATAAAAATAGGCTGTCTGCGGTGATTTAGTAGAAGTCCAAATGAAACATATCTGAAATCATTAAAACAATTGTTAATGTTTTACCCATTCTTAAGAGTAGAATAGGTACTATAAGATGTTGTTTAAGATTGCTTAGGCCAAGCAGATATTAGAGACAATGCCAACAAAACCTAGCACCTTTATAAAAGGATAATTTAATAGAAACAGCTGTTCTTCTCATGGTCTCAGAAGTTATTAAATACATTAAGCAGTGTGTCATAATTAACTAAATTTGGTTAGTATATGGAAAATTAAGCTATATATAATTGTTCTTAAGACAGAACTGAAAGAATAGGCAATTCTGAATAGTAGTTTGATTTCCTATAACACATTACATCAGAATTTGGCAATCTTTTCGGTTCCAGGGGCCAACTGCTGTATCAGAGTCTGTACATTTCTACAATTACGCTGATAAGCACTGTAAAAAGCTTACTTTATCCCATTCATGCTATTTGAGATTATTCCAATTCAGAATCAATCAATCCCGCATCCAGTTAGGTTCTGCTCGTGCACTTCATTTTGGTGCTCAGTTGGAGCAGCCATATGCGCTGTGTTCCCATAGGATGCAAAGTAGATGCACTGAGCAGAGTCGTACTGATAGTATTGGAAAGCCTGAGCTCCATCTAACGTAGAAGATAAGTGCCTCTATCAGTCTCAGTTTTTTAAATATTTTTTCAGTTAGTGTCTTTAATTTCTTTAGAAAGAACAGAAAATTGAAGAATGCTATTTTTCAGGTGATTTCTATGCTTTCCTATAACATATTACAGGTTAGTCCTCAACTTATGACCACAATTGAGCCCATAATTTCTGTCGTTAGGCAAGATAGTTGTTAGGTGAATTTTGCCCCATTTTACAACCTGCCGTGCCACAGTTGTTAAGTGTATGCTGCCGTTGTTAAATTAGAAACACGGTTATTAAGTGAATCCATCTTCCCTGTTGACTTTACTTGTCAGAAAGTCTCAAAAGGTGATCACTGGATCCTGGGACACTGCAACCATCATAAGTACATGCCAGTTGCCAAGCTTCCAAATTTTGATCATGATCATGTGACCACGGGGATGCTGTAAGTGTGAAAAATGGTCACAAGTCACTTTTTCCAGTACCGTTGTAACTTTGAATGGCCCCTAAATGACTGGTTGTAACTCAAAGGCTATCTGTACCTCAGAATGTGAAAAGTTTTGTATCCAAGTATATTTTATTCTTTATACAGTTTCCATCTTCCCCTTAAAACATCAACAGAATCCACAGTGGTCTGTGAATCAGTGTGTCCACTAGATAACTCACAGGCAAGTTGAGACTAAGTCAATCAATTAAAATTAGCAAATTTCCTCAAATAAATTGCACAGACCTAATCCATGAATTAAAAGATAAGATCTGTAAACACAGAGCTAATTAAATTAGGTCTCCCAAAGAAACTGATGTTCACAAGAATAAACATACCGACACACACACACACACACACAAACACGCACGCACGCATGCACGCATACACATACACCTCAAGTGTTACCCTAGAATCAGCACAGGACAAGCTCCCCCTATAAAAATCTACTGCTGTACCCCATTTTTATGCAGCCCGCCTCTAAAAGCAAACTGTTTTGCTTTTAGGAATAAATCTTTCTTCTTTTCTCACAGCTGTTTGGATCTCATTTTTATTTATT